TATTCTATTTCTCATCTTTTCCCACCCCAAAAGCAGCAGCAGTGGGGTCGCTGCTCCCCACAATTCCCACCTGGCTCGGGGTTTCGGTGTCGGTGTCGTCGCTCAGGCTCTGGGAATCCTCCAGCTCCTCCAGGGGAGCGGCCTCAGGCACCTGCAACGTCGGGAATGTCGGGATAATCCCAATTTCCACTCCCCTTTATTCCCAAATTCCCACCTCACATTTTCCCTTTTTTTCCCCCAATTTTTGCTGCCTTTATTTCCCCAATTCCCACTTCACATTCTCCCCTTTTTTCCCAACTCCCACCTCCTTTTTCCCCCCTTTTTTCTCAATTCCTATCTCACATTTTCCCTTTTTCTTCCCCAATTTTTGCTCCCCTTTTTTCCCAATTTCCACCAGTAATGCCAACACCCTTTTCCTAACACAATCTATCCCCTCGATGGGGCCAGATCAGTCTTTTCCAAAATCGGGAATTCCACTGATAATTGGGAATTCCATGGAAAATCGGGAATTGCACGGAAAATTTGGAATTGCACAGAAAATTGTGAATTCCACAGAAAAGGCAATAATTCCATTGGAAATTGGGTATTTCATGGAAAAGCAAGAATTCCATAGAAAAGCAGGAATTCCATGGAAAATTGAGAATTCCATTGGTAATTGGGAATTCCATGGAAAAGTGGGAGTTCCATGGAAAAGGCAGGAAATCACGGAAAATTGTGAATTCCATGGAAAATCGGGAATTGCACGGAAAATTTGGAATTCCATGGAAAAGCAGGAATTCCCTGGAAAATCAGGAATTCTATGGAAAACCGGGAATTCTATGGAAATTCCAAGACCTCCAAGCAGCGTGTGACGAGTTAAACCAGAGAAAAGTCAGAATTCAATGGAAAATCAGGAATTCCACGGAAAACTGGGAATTGCATGGAAAACCGGGAATTGCATGGAAAACCACGAATTCCACGGAAAATCGGGAATTCCAGGGAAGCAGAGGCACCTCGGGGTCGCCCTCCGGGAGCTCCTCAGGCTCTGTCCGGTTCCCGGCGTTCCCCGGCTCCGACGGGCGCTCGCTGAGGAACCACAGATCATCCGTGGTGTCCGACACGATGGCCGTGTCCATGTCCTGGGGAAAAACAGGGAAAAAAAAAACGGGAAAAACGCTCGGGAGCAGCTCCACTTCCAGCAATTCCCATCTCATGTTCTCCCTTTTCCCAGTTCACACCTTTTTTCCAAATTCCCCTCCTTTTTTTCCCTATTTCCACTTCACATTCTCCCTTTTTTCCCCAATTTCACCTCATTTTTTCCCCAATTCCCTGTTTTTCCTAATTCCCACCTCACATTCTCCCCTTCCCAATTTTGGCTCTTTTCTCCCCAATTCCCACCTCACATGGTCCTGTTTTTCCCCATTTTTTTCTCCCTTTCTTCCTAATTCCCACCTCAAAATTCTCCTTTTCCAAATTCCCACCTTTTCTTCCCAATTCCCACCTCATTCTCCCTTCTTTTCCCAAATCTCCTCCTTTTTTTCCAAAATTCCCACCTCACATTTCTGCTTTTCCCTATTTCCACCTCACAATTCCCCTTTTTCCCAATTCCCACATCACAATTCCCCCTTTTCCCCAATTCCCCTCCTTTTTTCCCAATTCCCACCTCACAATTCCCATTTTTCCCCAATTCCCACATCACTCTCCCCTTTTTCCCCAATTCCCACTTTGTATTCTTTTTTCCCTATTTCCACTCCCTTTTCCCCAATTCCCACCTCACATTCTCTATTTTTCCCAATTTTTGCTCCCCTTTACCCAATTCCCACTTTACAATTCCCCTTTTTTCCCAATTCCCACCTCACAATTCCCTTTTTCCCAATTCCCACTTCACAATTCCCATTTTTCCCCAATTCCCACCTGACATTCCCCATTTTTCCCAATTTTTGCTCCCCTTTACCCAATTCCCACTTCACAATTCCCTTTTTTCCCAATTCCCACCTCACAATTCCTCCTTTTCTCAATTCCCACATCGAAATTCCCTTTTTCCCCAATTCCTACTTCACATTCTCCCTTTTTTCCCTATTTCCACCTCACAATTCCCCTTTTTCCCCAATTCCCCTCCTTTTATCCCAAATTCCCACCTCACAATTCCTTTTTCCCAATTTTTACCCCTTTTCCCCAAAATTCCCACCTCACATTCCCTTTTTTTCCCCAATTTCTTTCCCTTTTTTCCCTCTTCCTCCTCCCCCTCCCACCTTGACCACCACCCTAAACCACCCCATAAAAAAATCCCCAAATCCCAAATCCACCAAACCTCCAAACCCCTTCAACAACAATTTCCTTTATTCAAAAACCACTAAAAATTCACTTTTTTTCCCGGAAAAAAAAACCCCAGAAAATCCAGGGAATGGGGGCAAAAACCCCAGGAATATTTGAGAGGAAAAGGAAAAAAATTCCCATTTTTTTGGGGTTACCTGGTTGGTCTGGATGTCGGTGGATCCGTTGCTCCTGGAATTGTAATTATTGCGGAGATTCCCTAAAAACCACCAGGGCAGCCCCGAAACRTCCCAATCGTCCAGGGCCAGCTCCAGGCTGGGTCTGGGGTTATTCCCGAGGTTTTCCAGGGAATCCTGGTCTGGGATGAGAGGGAGAGGAGTGAGAAAATGAGGGGGGATGGTGGGGG